GTATTGATCAAGAATTAATTTGGAATTAATTTTGTGATCAAAAGAGACTAATTAAATATATGAGGATTGATTATGTAAATCATTCATTCTTATATATGTGGGCTTGTGATCCATAGTCCTTCATGTTGGGCTTAAACCATGTGGTAACCCATGGAGGTTAAAACCCATGGATCATGGAGGAAATGGAAAGTCATGCACATTAGGGTTTACATGGTGTAACCCTAAATGAGCCACACTATATAAAGGACCCCATGGTTCATGAAATGACTAGTGGAGACACAAAGAGGGCAAAATCGATTTCATAGAGTGAACCAAGTAACCTCTTCTTAAGTTATTCCAATTTTTGGTGGTGTTGTGTGATTCCATTTGAGGTGCAACACTTGGGGCACTAAGCTCTTAAAGGTTCAAGACTTCAGGCTCCATCAAAAGGTATGTCATCTAACTAGACTTTTGTAGTATAGATACTACATTGTATGCTAGTTAGGATGATGCTTTGGAATTTTGAATGTATGCATGTATAATAGAGAAAACATAGATCCAAAGCACATAGGGTTGCATATATACCATAGGAGTGTTAGAATGCTCACAACCCAACACAAACACCTATGCGTCTAACACCCGTATCTTCCTGCTACCGCTCCTCTCCTAGTTTCAGTGGTACTAGAACCCAAAAGTTCTCCCTTAGCCCACTATCGATCATACCAGAACAGATGATGATACCACTATATTCCATCGATACGGGTGGACTAGCTTGATGAAGCTAACCACAGGCCTTCCATATAATACCCCTGACTGATCTCTATTATGAATGGAGAGAACACTGAACAACCCGATCCAACAAAAAGGAAACGACCTTTTACTAACTACTCAGTAATTCACGGTATGCAATTGGCAAATGAAAATATTTGATGATCTAACCCAACAGGAGCAAAGAAATAAACCAGGGATACAATTACCCAACCCGCTACAATATTCCAAACTAAAGCAAAATTCTCACAATACTGTGCCGATAAAATTGAAAGAAGGTAATGTTACATACCCACAACATCGCCTGCTGGAGTACTGAATTCTCCTGTCTGACACTGCAGGGCCTGACTCCTGTCTGCTGGGGCTCCTGCCCCACCCTCTCGATCATTAGAGATTTGCAAAATAGCCGGAGCAGGCGCCTTCACTGCTCCTCCCCTCCTCCTCGGACATTCGGCCTTCTTGTGGCCGACCTGATCGCAGTGAAAACATAATGGGCTTACCCCCTGAGAACAATCTCTACTGACATGATCAACCCTACCACACTTGTAGTAGCCTAAACCCTTGGAGCAATCAAATCCCTTGTGCACTTTCCCACACGTGTTGCACTGAGTCCGGCCCTGCTGGCCTTTCACCCGATGATCAGAAGTGTTGGGTCTCTTCCCGGGACCCTCTACTATACGCACCTGGCATGACCCTCTCTTCCCAAGGTGCTCCAAATCGATATCGCATCCGCGAACTCTGGAATTCATATCCTTTAGGGTCTGACACCCTGTCACGCTCACCAGCTCACTTGGCAATGACTAAACTGCAACAGCTTGAACATCCTCTACCTTAAACCGGGTCACAAACTCCTCCCAAGACATTGTCTCCAACTCATAAAGCGTCATATATTACGCAATCAATTTCTAACAACTCTTTGCCGACCGATACAGGAGATTCAAGGTGAACCGAACCTTGACTCCTATGGGATAGGGACTAGTGCGGAAGACACCTTCCATCTCCTTAATCCAACGCGAACTCAAAATCTTGGCAGTCCTTCCTTCGACTGGCTCACCACCTGATCCGAGACCTAATCCTGAGCCAGAACCGCCTCCCTGAGTGCTCATCTCCAAACTGGAAAACCCCAAAACCACTGCTCAAAACATACTAAAGGATTCTCCTCCTCGAAGCTTCTCAGATTCTCCAAGACTCTAACCAATTCGAGTATGGATCCTGTGCTTTCAGTAGTACGGGCCCAATATTACCTTCCACACCTATCCATATTTTCCTCAACAATCCTCCCGATTCATCCAAGTCACTTCCTCAAACTGATGCACCCAAGTCTCACTAAACCTCATTACTAACCCACTGAAGCATATCCCAGGCTTTCCTAGGTTCCCGAACCCACCCAGTCCTCAGCTGCTGAAGGATTCCCAGTAATGTCAACTAGCTACCTCATGAATATAGCCACATGTAACAAGGATCAGATAATCCTTCAAGTAAAAGACTCATCCCTAAAACAGTTAGACTCAAACGAGAGCTGCACAATAGGGTCAAGTCCATCACTATGAGATTATCCAGCCTGTGTCATATATGACTTAGCATATTCACTTAGTAGCTAACTCACATTGCTAAGAGCCCCACAAAGCACAAAGCAGGCAACATTGGGACAACGGAAAAACTAACCAACCTACTCCACTCAAACCATTCTATTCAACTATCTGAACCATACTAACAAGCAGTTCCAAGAGCTCAAACAATCAGTCATAACCTAAACAAACCATCCTATTACTGACTGATCAGTACTAGCGTGCAGATATACAAGCACATACAGTAGGCATATAAGGCATCCTACCTAGATCCTTAGCCCTAATCTAGCATGCAATTCACATATTCACAATTCATATCATACTATAACATGTATGAGTATCTTGGGGAAAACTTACTTGAGCTCGGCCGATTGCACGCATCACACTCCTTGTTCTTCATTAAAAAACCCTTAGTTTTTAATTTTAGAAAAATTATTTTTCTTGTAAAAATCTTTCAAACCCTCAATTTGATTCCAGACACCCCCGAAGGTGTGTACGAATCCCTAAAACCAAGGCTCTGATACCAACTTGTAACATCCCAAAATTCAAGACCAAAAATTTCTTTTTTTTTATTAAGTTATTATAAAACCAAAAAAGAATAAAAACATCTATAGTGTCATCCCATATCAAAACCAGTATGACAATAATCAAAACATGTCATAATGAAACAATATCAGAGTATAATCCCAAAGATCTCATGTACGGAAAACATAGTGTGATGCGTTGCGATCATGCCGGCTCCTTTCCTTTTGAAGAAGAATCACCTGAAACGAAAACTGAAAACCATAAGCATGAAGCTTAGTGAGTTCCCCCATCATACCACATAACCACATACTGCCAGGCATATATGGGTGCCCGTCCTATCCTGTCAGACATATCTGGGTGCCAGACCTACCCTGATGAGCATACCTGGGGTGCTCAACCTACCTATGTTAGGCATACCGGGGTGCCCAACCTACCCCTGTCAGACATACCGAGGTGTCCGACCTACCCCTGTCAGGCATATCTGGGTGCCCGACCTACCCTCTGATTTATCTCAACCGGTTACGAGGACTATTTCACCCCTACCACTACCACATAATAACATATCATAAACATACTGCTAGGTATATATGGGTACTGTCTACCCCTTCGGTCTCTTTCAACCGGTAACTGGGGACTATTTCACACCTACCACTATCACATAATATCATAGCATCCTAGCACATAAAGCATAATAGATAGTGGCATACCAGACAATTATAACAAAGACAATCATCTCAACTATAAACAACTACAAGTGGGTCGGCATTGGTGCCTTTAACCCACTTCTACTGGAAGATAAATCACCTCACACTGCTGAAGTCCCGCGGACAAAACTCTAGTTGTTGGATGACAGATTCCCGAACTGTCAACATCAAAATAACACCGAATTAATAATTGGGTTCCAACACATAACCATAAGTCCATGCTTGGGGTAAAAGACTACTTTACACCTAACTTAGCTTGATTCAAGCCCAAGGCCCAATCCAAAGGCCTAAAAGTCAAACAATGAACCAAAGCCCAACATATGGCCAAATTTTCCAAATTGGGCCCAAACTTATACATGGTCTTACCCTAAGGCCCAACCATTTATTCTAGTCCAAACATTTGGCATTCCAATGGTCTAATATATCATAACCGTCAAGGCCAAATTATGGCCCACCTATGGCCAATTTTCCAAATTGGTCCCAAGCCTTTCCAATGGGCCTTATCCTAAAGCCCATCCAAATATTCCAGTCAATATACTTGTTCTTGGATGGCCCATCAATAGCCCTATCACCAAAGCCCAACAGAAAGGCCCAACTCAAGCTCCAAACAATAATTAGGGTTTCTCACATGAAATGATGATTAGAGTTAAGTGTTCCTACTTAACCCATTAAGGACTTAATCCATTAAGTCCATCGCCCCGCTAGGCCAAGCATACAATGTAATCGGGTATAAGTCATAACATCAATCCCATGGTCTAAAAAGTAGGTCCCGACAATCTCAAAACCCATATATCTAAAATTAGGGTTTTCTAAACCCTAATTAGGGTTTTGTAAACCCTAATTAGGGTTTCCAACCCAATCGCGAGCCAATTAGTCCATTTGTTAAGCTCTTAGGTTAATTAATTGTTAATTAAGTTGCACGCCACCCACTACCACGTCAGGTAGTGGTAGTGAATGGCGGCTCACGGCGGCGGCCACCACCTCGTGGTGGTGGTTATGATTTTTGGCTAAAAATTTCCAAGCATCCCAAAATAACAATCACACACACAAAAGCACACAGCCACCCAAGGTGGCGGCTGGTGGCGGCAGAATGGTGGCGTGAGGTGGCAACCACCACCTCACGGCGGTGACGGGTTGTTTTCCTTGAATCATCCGACCAAGCAATACATTTTACACGCAATATCCAAATAAACACACACACAAAATACTCATACACACACTCAGCACCCTTGTAGTGGCAGGTAGTGGTTGGAGGTGACAGCCACCACCTCACGGTGGTGGTGATGGCTTCACTTTTAAGATTTCCGGTCAAACAAAACACACACACGCCTTTTGCTCGGAGGATGAACCCAACCACCCACCTGGTGGCGTGCAACGGTCAGAGAGCGTCAGTCACGGCGAAACAGCCGCAAGGCGGCGACGGCGGACGACTGCAGTGACACAAATGGTGGCAACATCAACGACTCACATCGGTGGCAACGTAAACGCTTGGCGGTACCGGTAGTGTGGCTGACGACGGGACAGAAGAGGAAGAAGGTGCATCTTCAAGCGAGAACAGCGGCGGTGGTCGTGGCTGAGGCGCAGCAAGCGAAGAACGGAGAAAGGAGGCGGCGACGCGAGCTATAGCAGCAACGACAGAGGAAGGGACATCCGTCAACGGTCCTTGTCGTTGTCGGAAAAGGGAGTAGCGACGGTGCTGGATGGCGGCTCCCAACGACGTCACTACTCGTCCTATTCTCCAACCGGTGCAGCTTCACTCCCATTTCATGTCGGTCTTCACTGTTGTCGGTGACAAGAGTCGTTCGATGGTGCTAGGTGGTCGGAGCCGATAGCGGCGGCTGGAGGATGAGGGTAGTGAGGGTGGCGGCTGTGAATAGTTTTTAGGGTTAGGGTTACCGGGAGGGTGACGGGCTATATACCCGGTCTCCATGAACTTCATCCCATAATGCCACATTTGGTCCCTCCTTCTCTTTTTTCTTTCAAATTGAGTCCAAATGTAACCAAATAGCCCCTCCTCTACAAATTACTTTCAATTTAAGTCCATATATTACCATTCAGCCCATGTCTTCTGAAATCTTTACAATCCAGCTCCAAATGTTACCCCTTTAGCCCCTGCTCTCAATAATCTATTCAATACAAGTCCAATTGATATAATTTAGATTGTAAATTCCCGAACTTATAGCGTTTAGCTCCCAAGACTAACACTAATTAAATTATTATGGCTTCAGGGCTTCGATAAAATAATATATAAAATACATCTCGGGATTTTAGGGCTTATTATTTATTTGTTAATTTTATCTAGTTATCTATTTAATAAACGGGATGTTACATAAAGGTGGAAAAGTGTTTTCAAATGTATCTTGAGAGAGAAACTTCCTCTTTGATAATCCACATTCTAAAGGTGATATTATCCATCTCTTAGGATACTTGTGTAATTGAGTTTGGTGTTGAGTCGCTATGGAATTAGGGTTTGCAGCTATGGTTATGTTATTCCAAATTGATTGATGAAAGTGAATAAGTTTGTGATTAGATATCTAATTCAACTTAGTAATAAGGGAAATTTTTAAGAAAGGCGCTATATTAACACAAAATTTCAATTTTGACACAAAGTTTTTATCTTTCTCAATTATGTCACTATATTTACAATTTTGTTGCAAGATCAACCAAATGACCGGTTCTTCAGTAACAACTTTTCCCGAATTGTAATAAAGTCACTAAGTTTACCAACATTTTGATTTTGACACCGAGTTTCAAATTGCAAGAAAGTGACTATATTACCATAAAATTTTGATTTTGACACCGAGTTTTTTTTTCTCAATTATGTCACATTTACAATTTTGATGCAATGTCAACCAATTGTCCGATTCAGAAGATGTTATTGTGTTTTAGAAGCTCGATTTTGTATAACAAATAAATGAAGGTCGGTCTAATGGTTCAAACTCACTTACAAGTCAACGAAAAGTGCACAATCACCTTTTCAGGAGATTTCATTGTGGTTTAGAAGCTCAATTTATACAACAAATAAATGAAGACCCCTACAAGGTCGATTTAGTGGTTCAAACTCACTAAGCATCTCCTGGATTGACCTTATAGGGGTCTTTATTTACTTGTTGTACAAATGGAGTTTCTAATCTACAATAACATCTCCTGAAAGGGTAAGTATGCACTTTTCGCTGACTTTTAGTTAAATTTGAACCACTAGATTGACCTTCAGATGACATTTGTGAAGAAATACTCTTTTGAGAGTTAAACATTAAACATTATCATAAAATGTGCCACCTAAAAGGGTGAATACGCCATTTTCGCTGACTTTTAAGTAGGGCTGTAAATGAACCAAACGAACACGAACGAGGGCTTGTTCATGTTCGTTCGTTTAAGTTAGCCGAACAAATAAACGAACACGAACGGATAAATGAACGAGTTTTCTTGTTCATGTTCGTTCATTTAACAAATTACATTGTTCATGTTCGTTCGTTTATGTTCGTGAACATGCTAAACGAACATAAACAAACGAACATAAATGAACAAAGATAAACAAACATAATTGAACCTATATGAACATATAATATAGTAATGTAATCATACACAATAAAACATATATGAACACAAAAAAGAACTTATATAAACGAACGTAAACGAACAACATAAACGAACGTTCACGAACATAATCAAACGAACGTGACCATTGTTCATGTTCGACTGTTCGTTCGTTTAACTAAACGAACGAGAAGTTGTGTTCATGTTCGTTCATTTATTAAATAAACGAACATAAATGAACTTCCCGCCGAACGGTTCACGAACAGTTCGCTGAACGTTCGGTTCGTTTACAGCCCTACTTTTAAGTGAGTTTGAACCACTAGATAGGCCTAAAATAATATGTGAAACTGGTTTCGATGCAAAATCTATATTTGAAACTCAATCCTACCACATAAGATCTTACGTAACTTCCACATCAAAAATATTGTCATGTCATTTATTTGGTAACCTGCTAGATTTATGGTAACCAGCCAATTGTTTGACATCGTAACATTAACAAAATTGTTACAATATTAATCAATTGATCGGTTACCATCAATCTAGTAGGTTACCAAATAAATGATATGACAATAGTATGATGTGGAAACCACGTAAGATCTTATGTGGTAGGATTGAGTTTCAAATATAGGTTTTGCATCAAGCCTAATTTCATATATGTTTTTAGATCGACCAGTGGTTCAAACTCACGTAAAAGTTAGGGAAAAATGCGTACTCACCATTTTAGGTGATACGTTTTATTATAATGTTTAATGTTTAATTCCCATCAGAGTATTTCTTCACAAATAAAGTCAGTGAAAAGTGTGTACTCACCCTTTCAGGAGATGTTATTGTGGTTTAGAAGCTCGATTTGTACAACAAGTAAATAAACACCCGTATAAGGACGATCCACGAGATGTTTAGTGAGTTGGAACCACTAAATCGACCTTGTAAGGGTCTTCATTTATGTGTTGTATAAATTGAGCTTCTAAACCACAATAATATCTCCTGGAATGGTGACTATGCCCTTTTCGCTAACTTGTAAGTGAGTTTGAACCATTGAACCGACCTTCATTTATTTGTTGTACAAATCGAACTTCTAAACCAAAATAACATCTCGTGAATTGGTCAATTGGTTGACATTGCAACAAAATTATAAATGTAATGACATACTTGAGAAAAAAAAAACTTGATGTCAAAATCAAAATTTTATGGTAATATGTAACTTTCTTGCAATTTGAAGCTCGGTGTCAAAATCGAAATCTTAGTAAACTTAATGACTTTATTGCAATTCGGAAAAAATTATTACCGGGAGAACATGGAGAACCAGTCATTTTATTGATATTACAACAAAATTATAAATGCAATGTCATAATTTAAAAAAAAAAAGAACTTTGTGTTGTCAAAATCAAAAGTCTATAATAATATAATGATTTTCTTGTAATTTTCTCTAGTAATAATAATATTGGATTAGTCTCGTAATATATCTCAAAAAATTGATAAAAATTTAAAATTAGGGTTTGTGTAGTGTTTTAGGAAATTGTTTGGAATAGTATCCAAACCTTTGTAATTGGTAAAGACTGGTTAAAAATGGAATAATTATCATTGAATTGATTGTTTTATCTCATGTTTATATAATGTAAGTGTCAAGAGTAAATGGATATGAACTTGTTTGACCTATGAATGATAAATTACAACAATAGAAAATAATCACAAGAATCAATCTAACAAATATTACGTACAGACCTTATCTTTAAATACTGAAACCAAACCATATGATGAAGAAGAGTTCTGAGCATATGGCTACACAAAATTGCAATGTATTAAATAGTTTCTACTCGGTAAAACCTTACACAGTAAGTGTTGCACGTAGATCAGAACAATTAGTTTTCCAAAATCCAATCTTGTCATTTTTTCTGTCATACATAACAAGAGTATTCCGAAAGATAATGCCTGCATGCATTGCAACAAACATATAATAAATAATTACACAACATTTTCATCGATAGCAACAAAAACCCGTATAATATATAGTATTAAACTTAAATTACCTCCAAGCATAGTCGTTGGATCCTTTCCATTTTGAAAAATCCCTAAGCAATATGCACCATGCACCTTTGAGTGCTTCACAAATCACAAATATCACACACATCAGAATATTTAGCAAACATACACCATTAATGTTTAATGAATTTGATTTTCTAAATATATATATTGGAATAACTGCTTACTCTGAACAAATAGTTCTCAGGGGTTAGTGACAACTTTTGTCCCTTCCCAAACACCATTTCAACAGAAGGAAATGTCTTCAAGAGCTGTGAAACATCACTGGAATTACATTATAACAGATTAACACTTAACAGTCAACTTTACTTCCTATTTATATATATACTTGAATACGATAATTAATGTATGTCATTACTGAAATACCTTCCAGCACCAGAAAAGCAAATGTCATCATAAGTTGGATCAGGACCTTTTATCTGTTTGACAGAATGGACTTCTTTCATGATCTGCATCCAAGATTTAAAACTTAATAACTACATATAGGAATGAAATTAATTAAGAAGACTTAAGAATCTTACAGCTTTCTTAAATGCAAGAAAAGCTGCTTCAGGTAGGTAACCATATGTTGTTCCACTGTCTAAAACCGTTCCAAGACTTCCATTAAAAACACTCTCACTCAAAGGCAACAGCTTTCCAGCAACATGTAACTCCTTCAGCTCAATATTGTAGTATGGGCTGTTGATGCATCAAATGTAATGTTATTATGTTAAAAAAAAAAGAAGTGAAATTTATAGATATAAAGCATACGTACCTACGAGTAGGGTTTGAGTAGGAATAGACCATTCCAGCTGAGGGGGGTGAAATGTCACCAAGAACAATGGCACCACCAACAATATCCATTCCACCATAACACAAAGAGAAGGAATCACTGATTACACCTCGGTCAACAAGTTGGTCAACTAGACTCGGATAACCACGACCCAAACCTATTATTCCATCGGCATGTTGACTGTAGAGATCACCAGTTTCCACATTTTCACAACCGAAAATGGCACGTTGAGGTGAAACTTCACTTTGGTTGCCAAATGATATGATGTCTTCACCAAGAACACCACTGCTAGTACTGAATTCAGCGTACACATTTTCATACACACATTGCTTTTTGTCCTTGTCACATGTGCAATTCTTGTTGCATTTCAGAGATTTGTAAGTGCTGGATGACTTTGGATCAAACTTTGGGTCCTGGTATGCACGATCAACAATTAACTTTTAGAACCTTAAGAAGAAAGCATACATGTAATTTACTGATGAACATCATGTAAAATGCAAAAAAGGAAAGACCTGATGATTGCCACATTCTTTACAAGTAGAACATGGAACATAAGTCACAGTACTCCCTGTGTCCACAATAAGAGCAAACTTCTGTGGTGGAGATCCAATCCATAGCCACGTTGTGTAATACCTAATAAACATCAATTCAATTCATCAAATATCTCCACCCCAAAAATGGTACAGTCTGTTAATTCTGAAATTCAAAGTGAATTCACTACTTCTACTCAATGATCGTTAGTTTCCCCAAAGAAAAACAACATTCAAATATATAAATTTCACACATCCTTAACGTTTTCGTGTTGGCGCGTCTATAGATCGAGGAGATGAATTGATACCCGTCGATGATGAGATCATCATGGAGAGCCATCCGCGCGTTCCGGCGATGAGTATCAGATTTCTGGAGGTGACGCTGAGATTTTCCGTCGCCGGAGAAGGAGGAGATCGGGGAGGAGTTAGGAGGAGAAGGAAAAAGAGGTAGGAGGAGAAGGAAAAAGAGGTAGAAACATGGTTTGGCGATTGATATCAGCATTCGGAGGATGGAGTATAGTAGTGCTTGTATCAAGGGCGACAGCAGAAACAAACACAGACGACCATAGATTGTTAAACAGAACAAAAATCGACAGGATCATGATAGAGGTAGCAGACGAGGCCAGTGCCCGGGTGAATCGTGCCATAATTCGTCAATCACTGAACTGTTGTTTCTGCGGATGGAGAAAAACGAAGAACTCGACCAGATATCTCTACTCTCTCGAGAATCGTAGAGCTAGAATGAGAGATGGATTTTCCGTTCCGATGGAGTTATCGGTGACTGTGAGTAACGTTTTCCCGCTGAAAAGATATTTTAATTCTCATTCGAAAGTGCCGGCGACGACGTTGATCGGATCTAGGCGTCACATGAATACGTGGATCGGATCGTTCTTAAACAGATAATGATGCACAATATTCCTTCACGTGCTTTCTCTCTCTTCACCATCACTTTTTAGGTAGTGTTTGATTTAAAAAAATAAGAATTCAAATAACACGTTTATACTTTAGGCTCCTCGTCCTAGACTAATAATACTACATTAGATTTGAAACTTTGGTTCCATTTCACACATGGATGAGTTTTGAACTAATAATACCCTAAGAGCGACGGGTGTATAATACCCTAAGAGCGACGGGTGTGGGCAACACCTTATGGCGTTATCTGACGTGGCCGCAACCATAACGGCGCCATAATGCTGAAACACCGCCCCAGCCTCCCGTTATGGGGCGTTATGCCAAGACGCATTACCATGGTAACAGATGGTAACACCATTTTTTCGACCGTTGCATTTTCTTTTCCGTTGAAAAACGGTAATATTACCGTTTAAAAACGGTCAATTGTAAAAAACATAAAAAATTGACTACTTAATTTTTTTAAACTATATCAATACATATATACCTCATTTTACACTTCTATTTCTCTATATCTATCTCTATTTCTTTTATCATTCAAAACAAAAAAATCACTATGGATCAAAACCCGAATACCCCTCCTCCGAACACAAACACATCCACTTCATTAGGTTTTGCGGGATACGAGGGATACATGAACCTTCTAAACTCCCAAAACTCACCACAAATTCCATATTCCGGCAAATTTTTCAATCTCGCCTCACCCCACTACAATTTTCTACCTCGCCATTTATGCAACAAAATGCAAACATTCAACAAAACCTTTTTAACACATTCGGTTCCATGCGCCAAACAGTCACACAACCCACACCCACGCAAGAAACCGTTGTCGAAATGCAAGCCGGGGGTAGTCAGAAAGCATCGGGAAAAAAAGGGAGACCAAAAAAGAAAGGGAAAGAGGTCATTGTCGGGGCGGATCAAACGAAAGCACCTCCAACATGGTGGACACCGGAGGAAGAGCATGTGTTGGCGGTGGCTTGGTGTGGTACTTCAAAACAACCAACTTTGGGGAACGATATGAAGAGAGTTGCTTTTTGGGATGCCGTAATTCTCAAATTCCGCACAATTTTGAACAAGGGTGACACATATCGCAATAATGATATGCTTAGTGGCAAATGGACTCAAATTAGCCGGAAGTGCACCAAATTTAATTCCATATACAACAAATTTTCTTCACAACATCAAAGTGGTGCCAATGATTTCGATGTGTTTAGAGCCGCGATGGAGGAATATCACGTGTAAATGGGTCACGTATTTGAGTACGAAAAGGTATGGGAGATAGTGAGGAAAGATCCAAAATGGATAAAAACGCCAACATCATCGGAACAACAATCAAAGAGGTCTCGTGGTTCGGGTTCGGTTGACGTTTCCGACGGACACACGAACATCGACCTCAACGCGGACACCGATGAGATCCCGAACGAGTTTGACGACATCGAGGAAATATCTCCGCCACGACGACCGATGGGGCGCGACAAAGCGAAGCGCGCGCAACGACATACGCATGAGAATGAAAGTCGGTTTCGAGAGCACGACGAAATGAAAAAAAAAAAACTCGACGCCCACACGGAAATCGCAAATAAAAGATATGAATTGCAACGGGAGCATTTGTATTTCCTTCGTCAAGAAGCCGAAGAATATCGTATATCGAAGGATTTGACAATTCTTACGACAAACAAAGAAAATTTGCCACCGAGACGAGCTGAAGTGATACGGAGGATGAAGGCAAAGATCGAGAGCAAATACTTGGGCGAAGAATAGTTTGTCGGTGTTTTTTTTTAATTATTAGGACTATCGTGTGTTTTTTGTTCAATGTTTTTGTCTTTTCTTTTGTTTTTTTTAATGTTTTTTTTAAGTTTGTATTGTATTTTTAATTTATTTGTTAATGAAATTATGTTTTATTAATTTATATATTTTTTTATAGATATATGACATAAATAAAAAAAAATAAAACAAATTAGAAATATATAAAGTAAATAAAACAAATAAAACAAATTAGAAAATTAGAAATTAAAAACATCCAAAAAAAAATAGAAAATAGTATGTGTTATCACATGTTATTTGGTGTTGTCCATTTCCACATTTGGTGTTATAACACCAAATTGTGACTAGGATGATGAGGTGGACAATTTGGGCGTGATAACATGTAATAACATGTTGCCCACACCTAGTAGTCTAAGATATAGATGTGAATACCTATATCCACATAATAAACATATAGTCATTTGGATGAGTAATTTCATATTTATGTTTTGTATTTGAATAAAAATTTGTACTTAATAAACTATGTACACTCCATAAATTATTCTACACCGTATAAAAATATTAATGCACAAATCTAGCAAATAAACTCTCAAATACATAGTTTCCAACTAGAATGAATAGTTAGAAACACATCAAAGGTTTTCGATCGTGTTATTTGGGTTTGAAACTCTAATTTAATGGAAATGTTGGATAAAGAGATGTCTTGAGAGTCTAATTTTACCAAGAGATGTCTTCATAACAATATCTCTAACATATGTACTATCCAACTTTTATCATCTGATAGTCTCATAGTGTCGATATAATGCTACAAATACTACATCACTTTTTGTATGTGAGCATGGGAATTTCATCCGAGTCCGGTGGGGAACCGGTTATATATATATATATATATATATATATATATATATATATATATATATATATATATATATATATATAGGGTGAGGTTCAATAGAGAACCATAATTAACCAAGGAACCAATCATTTTTTCAACTTTTAGAACTTATTTTTTATCAAAAAAAAAAAACTAAAAATACAAAAATTCATAACTTTTTATCCTTTTCCAATGATATCAAATTCAATTTCTTTTACGTCAAATTTACAATGTGAATCTTTGAAAATTCACAATGTGAATCCGGATTCACACGGTGAATCCGAAAAATATTTTTCACATTCACAATGTTAATATATGAATTTAGATATTTTTAGATTTTTTTTTCAATAAAGAATAAGCTCTAGAAATTGAAAAAAAGATTTGATTCATTGAAGAACCAATAATTATGGTTCTCTATTGAACTTTTCCATATATATATATATATATTATATATATATATATATATCTATATATATATATATATATATATATATATATATATGCTTACGTTATTTTGTTTCTACTAACTATTGTGTACCAGAATGCACAGATCTGGACCATCGGATGGAATAGAATCAAAGGTCATGATCTGAGAGTCTATGATATTACAATAGGGTAACATGCACCATATAATCACACAATTTTCAGCATAAGGGTATTTTGGTCAATTTACCCTTATTAAAAAAGGAAATTTCCAGAATTTAAGGGATAATTAATTCCTTTATTTTTAAAAATCTGAATATTTTAAATTAATTCAAATTTAAAAATCCGATTTTATTCTATCAGAATGACAGACTGCCTATACAATAGTCTTTTCTTCTATATGCATAAACATTCTAAAGCATGTATAAATGTATTCTGTCAGAATATCATCGAAAATGAATAAAATTCTTAAACAATAGCATTCTTGCATATACAATTATTAAACAAATACATTCTTGCATATATCATCGAAAATGAATAAAATTCTTAAACAATAGCATTCTTGCATATACAATTATTGAACAAATACACTTGATCCTCTTCAATTGTCCATATAATCAACTTGATCTTCACATATATACTTGTTGTTGAACTCGATTCCAAATAATTCTCTTGTATGATCAGTATTGAATTCCTTCTCCATGCAATTCTGAAAGAATAAGATACATTACTTGTTAGTATTATCAGTTAAACAAATATATTTGTTAACATTCTCAAAGATATTCTAAACAGAATGCATTTATATAAATAAATTCTAACAGAATACATTACAGAATGCACTTAAATTATAGTCTTTTCTTCTATATGCATAAACATTCTAAAGCATGTATAAATGTATTCTGTCAGAATTACTAGCAACACATGTTTTATGTAATATTTATATTCTCATAGAATGAAAGTTGTGAATTACACCAAAACCCATAAGTAAAAATTGAAGAAAATACAAAAACCAATGAGTAAGTGCAAAAAAATAACAAGTTTTAGACATGATAGCTCATACAAAATCCAGTTCTTAGGTTGAATTGGAACTTAAGCATTGGAATCCAAGATTTCATTCTAACATAATTGGAATTCGTGATTCCATTCTGGCAGAATTACCCTCATCATATTAGATACTAAGGCGATTTTGCTACTGCTACTAATTGAAGATTATTCCTTTGGTGCTTGATATTCATGAGGAAGATAAGAGATAAATTTTTCACCAATGTCTTTTTCAAATATCAAATTCTACAAGATAGAATACAAACATGACAAAGTAATTGTTTTATATGTTATCTGAAACTATTCTAAAATTCTATGTGGCTGAAGTCGGATGACTTCACCATCTGATTTTTTGATGTACTGGTGTGACAACCGTCAAATTTCGGTCAAGTCAAAGTCAAACAAAGTCAACAAGTCAAACCGGTCAACTCCATTAACCCTTGTATGTTAAGGTTTACGTTGTACAATTCGCTATTTTAATGAGAAAACAT